ATTTTATTAGTTTTAATATTTCGAAAAATCCCCGATCAAAATTACATTTTAAAATTTATATTGTTCATAGTTTTGAGAATAGGTCATTGAACCTAGACTTATTTCTATTTTCACTAATTAGGTGTACGTTTGAAAATAGTTAAATTTTTTTTTTTAATAGGTAATAAATATTAAAAATTTTGGAACACCAAAAAGAAACCAAGGAATCTTCATCGACTACTTAATAGTCCAAAAAATTAAGGTAAAAAAACGCTCTTCAAAATTGAGCCCCCTTGCAAAACCAAAGAAACAAAAACCCCTGAGGATCATTCTATTTTAAGTCGATCGCTTGGAGAACTGATAAAATGCGAATCAAAACAAGCAGCCGGCAAAGACACACACGCATACTTGTACCACCAGGAGAAACAGTCATCATTATTATAAGCCACGAGCATCGAAGGAGAATCAAACAGAACGGAAGAGACGTCGAGGCTCCTGAGCGGCTGGCGCGCGAGGTTTGGCGCTTCGAAAAACTTTCTCAAAAGCATGCCTTTCTATTATTGACGAGCGCTTGCGAGCCTTTCATTTTCTCGCCCGGCTTTTTTCCTCGCTCGCATACTTCGACGGCCCCGCGTCTTATCTCCTCTCTCGCCCTCGCCTTTCTTCATTCTCTCGTCGGCTCTCTCTTTCTTTCTTTCTTCCCTTTGCCTCACCTCCTCTCCTCTCCTGCAGTGTGTGTATCTTTTACCGATCGCCCGACACCTCTTTCAATTCTCCCTTCGATTCTCCCCCCTTGTCTCGCGTCTTGAATCTTTTAAGACTCGCCGCATGCTTCTATGATTCTCACCGATGCCTTTCGTAACTGTGGTCACGGCTGTCGGTATGAGGTGATTTTTTTTATTGCAATCGAAATGTTGGCAGTAACTTTATTTGTTTCCGTTTTTTTACGAAGCAATGAAAAACAATTGGAAATTTATGAGATTTTCCGTCCCTGATGAAATAGGTGAAACATTAAGATTTTTACAATTGATTACAGGATACATTTTTCTTTTATCAAATAATGGCAAAAAAAATTATTTGCCAATAAATATTTTTTTGTATGTTGTAATTGATATTTTCATTTCGGTTTTAGATGGACAAACATTTACTGTCGCAGTTGGACAAAGCCATGACTCACATACATGAAATATTTTTCTTAAAATCGCGTGTTACGGAAGACAAAGACAGACAGTAGCCATGGGTGATAGCTACGGGTGAACTCACTAGATATAATGGATTTATTAATTTGTATCGTCGGATACGAAGTAGATAATTTGTACCGCAAGCATAACATGATGACACAAGATCAAATTTACCAGCGTACACATTTTACACGTAACAAGTTTTTCAGTTAACAGCCAAAATAATTTGTTTGAATAAGAGCAAGCTAAAATAGTATTCTGCTATAATATGCAACATGAAAAAAATTAGTGTCAATTTAAATTGAAAATAATTATCATATTGAAAATTAAAATAAGTCAACAAACTGATCGTAAAGTTAATAGTCACCTTGCTAAATTAATTAGGAAAGTTTTTTTATACCATTTTCCTTGCGTTATTTAATTTTTAATCTTGATGTAAACACATAAACATAATCATACTAATTAACAATAAGTAACATCAATGATTATTTTTTTAATCCTGTTTCGTTAGTTCAGTATTAAATTTTTTTAAGCTTTGGTCCTCGTAACCCTTAAAGTAATTATGCCACTTCTAAAAAAAAAATCTTGTAAATTAAAAATAAAACAATAAATTACCCAACGACGTGTTGCAACGTTGGCTGTTGTTTTAAATTTAAAATCACCTTGAGGAATGTTTTTTCTTTGGATGACTTGTTGCTTTTTATAGATAAATACTTCGATATTATATCCACTAAAACAACAAACCCATTATTTTACCGGATGTAATACTTAACTTTTGCCTACATTTGACCTGTATTTAATATTTTAATTAATTTTTTTAAACTTTGGAGCAAAAATTTCCAGAGTAATGCAAAGAAACTAACAGCGCAACATCATGTTTAACAATGCATTTCACCAATCTTTCCATAGACATGCACTTAAACGTGTTTGAAATTACAAACAGGAATTGTAATAAAGTATATCTACAGTACTCTAAGATCTAGGTGACACTAAAACTGATTTTTAATAGTCACGTGAAGAGTGTAAAAATCCAGTGGTAATCAAATATTGCGTAATGTCCGAGTTTTCCTCCACATGATTTTTAGCCGCTTGAAACTAGAATACGCTGAGTCCATGTGTCTAGTTTACACCACGTGCTGATTCGATGAATCAACTTAATATCAAATAGATGTTAATTTTTGAAGCAAAGCACCGGGCAAAAAAACAAGAAAAATCTTTCTTACCCAAGTGATAAGAAACCGAACGAAATTGAAAACAACGGCTTCCTGAGGTTTTTAGAAATTATCACTTAACTTTTTGACGTGAATTTATCTTTGAATAAAAGTTAACACTAGTGAGGGGGGAATAGGGGCCACACGATATTTTCCACGGACGCGCGCACGTATAAAACCAGCGTCTCAGTCGACTTTGGGATTCAATGCAGCATCTGCTTTCCAAGTAGCAAGAAATACACATATATTAATAATATTTTGCCACAGTCTCTATTACAGTACATACAATTCTTACAATGATGAAGTTCACAGCTATTCTCTTATTGTTGGCCACCGGTAAGTTACGTATACTTAAACGGCCTTTCTTTTTACTTTAATTTTAAATTAAATTGTTTAACTATTTTAAATTATTTATTATTAATTTATTAGAGCTGGGCGTACTTGTCGCTCATGCGTTGCCTCATTCTAAATTTATGTGCAATTTACCTGATGGGCTTAGTGACCGCACGTAACATGTTTAAACTTGTGTTATAAATAAATCTAATTTTTTTTGGTACACACGATGAATAATTTTATTAGATTTTGTTCATAAATCAAATTGTACGAATTTCTAATAAGTACTAACCAAAGTTAAAATTTGTAAAAATTCTCGTAAATTTAATTATTTAGTGCTGCTTTTCAACGTCGTCAAGGCTGACGAGGAGCATGACCATCCTCATGACGATGGTATAGGGCCAGACTGTCCTTGTGTAACAACGATGGAGTACGTACCGATTTGCGCAAGTAATGGAGCTACTTATTCAAATGCAAAAATGCTGGAGTGTGCGAAAAAATGCTTGAAGAGGGATGGTAAGAAAACTTTTAAAAAAATTTTATTTGTACTAATTATTTTGTACTATGTATTAACTGTAAATGGTTAATTTAGAATGAATTTTAAAATAGTTCTCGCTTTTACGAAATCCTTGAGTAAAATCTCATTTTCCACCTAAGAATAATCTAACAATAAGGATGTTTTAAAATTTTTAATTAACATTCAGAGATTCCTTCAATCGAAAAAAGTTTTTTTTCCATGAGTTTCTTTAACAATTTAGAATCTATCAAAAAATGTGAGGTTCAATTAAAAATAGTCCAAAAATTAAAATGGAAGATTATTATTCGACACTTTTTTTACAGCTCGAAGTAAAATTGTTGAACTATCATCTTGTAGTCAAATGATAAAAACATCATTTAAGTGCGAAAAAAATGCTCTATCTATTATAATTTCAAAAGTTCATTAAAAAAATGAATTGTTTTTTACAGTTAGCAGAATGATTTAAATGAACAAAAATTATCAAATTTTGTTAATAGTAAGGAATGATTTGTATTTTAGTAAAATCGAGAATTATTTGTAATTCATTATGAGGTATATGCATTGATGTAAAAATATAAATGATATACACATAGATAGTTGTATGTTATATGTATCTGACATTATATCTGTGTTTTATTTCAGATTTGGTAAAAGTAAAGGATGGTCACTGTTAAAAGTTCATTGGCACTTTTCAAAGAGATGGGGTTTTTACTACAAAGGGTTAAGAACATTTTTCTGTATGAATTTTTTTTTTTTACGATTATGAATTTATTTTTAAGTTAATAAAATAAAAACTTTTTTCACAAAATTTTAGTTACATTTTATTTAATGAAGTAGCTGTACCATGTTATAATATAGTTGGGATGTAAACAACCACCTAATATTTTATATATATTTTTTTTCTTTGCAGTCATGCTACTATAAGTTAAACTTACGGTTTCAACTTCTCCTAAATAACATGAGTTTTTTTTTAATTTTAATTATTCTAGCTCCTTCTTCATTTATTTTTCATACACGATGATTCTACGGTATTTTTTTTGTTTTTCTTAAATAAATGTAAGAGAAAAACTCACCATAATCTCGTTTGCAGTATTTGATCAGATTCAGCCTTCGAGTGCTTGCTCGACATTTGCGGCATTGCTCTGTAATGAATAAAAAAATATTGGCCTGATTAGAATTTTTTAAATTAAAAATTTCTATTTAATAAATGCAAATAAATATCTATACTTGTTAAGTACGTATACTATACTTATAATCTTAACTCAGCTGGTTAAAATGACTTTTAATAATGTTATAGTGGTATTTTCTACAACTAGTGTCAAACTGCATAAGACTAGACGAACAATATGCATGATGTTAATTAAATATCTGCAAGTCTTATTGTTCTTAACTCCCATTGAAAATTTCTCGCCACGGTCGTAAAAATATTTTTTTTAATATTTTTCACTCGACTTCCACCTCATCGTTTGCATTTCTCAATTGTGAAAATAATTCTTTTTTTTATGTTCTGTTACAATAAATTTTACTATGACCATAAACATAACATGTAAGGAAATATCACGTCAAGGTAAAATATACAAAATCGATCGAAAATATCATTTTTATTTATTGATCGAAATAAATATCTTACAAGCAGAAAATTGACAGGGGACGGTGGAAATAAAGCGTTTATCGGCTCCTTTCAATTATTCAGCTGTTTCTACCCAAGAATCCAATTTCAGGACTAGAGAACCTTATAGCTAAACTCGTCGAATCAGCAGCCATATCATGTACGTCCGCTGTACCTCAATAATCAATAATTGGCAGACGACCAAAGAGCCAGTATCTCCTATTTTCCGCCCGCCCTCCCTCTCTTCTCCACTATCGGTTCACTTTTATTATCGATATTGCCAATACTGCATCCTTTGATCTCAGATATCGGAATCAGATCGACACAGCAGCTGCATGGGCAGGAATAGCGTCTGCCAAAAACGTCACTGTCCACTGCTTTGCGAACGACAACGGCATTTCATACTCGTGTTCTCTCGTAGGCTATGTTTTTGTTGTTTTTCAGACGCATTTTTCAAGCAAATTCAACTACTTCATGAATTTTTGAACATTTTTTTACAATTTTGCTTAAAAAATTATTATTTACCGTACAAAAATTGAAAAAAATTTTTTCTAGAATTCTATAAAACACATTTTAGATATTGAAGTTTATCGTAAATTGTTTGCCGTACGAATGTTTAAATACTTTTTCAAATACACATTGGACCTTTGTTTTTCTAAAATTTTAGGTCTTTAAAATTTCGATGGATTGTTATTGGTGAAATTAATGTGTTATAATGGTAAACAATTTTTTTTTCAGCTGAATAACGCACTGTGATTTTGGCACAGATTTTTCTGAAAATTGAAAAAGTATCAGCACCCAAGTTAGACACACATGTGCTCGTTAATAAAAATTCACATTTAAAAGCGTGAAGTGCGATAAGAGAAAACAAACGCTCTTCAAACACCAAAAGTCAGCGAAAATTTGTCTCATGTAATCGCCGAGAAAATCAATTGGCGTGAAAAAAAAAAAAAAAAAAAAAACCAGACCATTCAAATTATTAATAACCCAATATGTTTGAAAAATAGCTTCCACAGTGAAAAATACCCCGTTGTTCCGGAACGGCAACTATTTTCAAACTCAACTGCAACTTTTTACCCCCGCTTATCTCACCAAAGCACAACACGAATATTCATCATTTCAATAGGGTACACATACACACAGTGTCTTTGCACAGCAAAGTTATCGACCAACACAAATTTGTTGGCACAGGTGTGTGCACATGTTGCGCGTAATCCGTGAGATGATCGAGTACTCGCTGCCTCGGGCACTGCCAATTTCGCGGATGATAAATATTAAATGACATCGCGACGGGTACACGGTTATTAGTCTTCGTTGAGTAACTCGTCTCGTAATCACTTACAGGGCTTATGGCTTCTTGCCGGATGAAAGAACGCAGAGATTCCGGTTAAAAAAAAAAAAAAAAAAAAAAAAAAAAAAAAAAAACCGTACTACCGACGATCTTGAGCCAATTACTTGGATTGAATCACCATTGTATTCATTCGCGTTTGCCGTTGCATTTACGTAAAATTTACGAGCTAAATAGCCAAAGACTGTTTCCCTATAGGCTATACAGTCCCGTGCATTGCAAAAAAATGGCAATCAAAGCTCTTGGACGATATTGTTTTAACACAAGCCTGAATGATCCAAGTTTATCTTCGTTTATTGTATTTACATCCGTACACGATTCGCGTCGTTTCTCAAGAGCCACGGCAAAGCAGGTACACGCGGCCAAGGCAAACAGCAACGTATATACGCCCGGCGTGAAAAATTTAATTTGCTCGACGTGTTTCTCTTTCCATTGGGTTTGTTTCTTCCTCTCCCGCGTTTTACCTGTACGACACGTACACGTGCGTCTACGCTTGACAAGAACATGGGAAAAAAGAAAAAGAAAAACATATCACAAGCGCGAGAGAACGCATTCAAGAGCGAAGTAAATTATTCGCACCGGGTGCGCGAGATGACTTTGCCGTGTGTATACAGCAGCTTCGAAAAATGATCGAAAGCGCAGCTTGTTTCGAGCAGAGCTCGCCGTGTGCCCTTAACTCGATTTGTTCGCGCGCGGCCGAGTATTTTAATGGCACTTGGACGTGGTATCGAATTAATCACTCGGTTAGAGCTACCACCGGATGTTTTACTCGCGTTCGGGTGCGCCGAGGGGGTGAGCGAGAGCACAGTGCGCCGATGATTTATTCAGACGAGATACTCGAGTGTGTTTTTTCGCACGCTATGTTTGCGTATTTTAGGAACAATTGGAGCGTGTGGCCTTTTCTTCATTTATTATTTATTCATTGTTTGTCTCAACTCTTACAGAAAATCGGTATGATCGGCGATATTTACATCTAAAATCATACATTGGCGGCTCGAACAGACGGCACGTCAGAGGTGAAATTGACAGCCATTACAATTTCCCATGGAACGTATTTCCTTTCTCTCGCCTGAAAAAAAAGAAAATGAAACGACCACCTTGTGCTCCTCCCCGTTATCAATCGGCCGATCTCAACGCTTTGAAAATAAATACCATTATTCGTACCAACACTCGACCATTCCACGGCCAACCACTTTTCCCCGTTGGACCTATAGGTATATATATACCAGGTCCATGGAGCCAGCGTTAAATCACCGGGCGTCCCTTCAATTATATCATCACGCATTAATTTGCACCTCTTAAACGCTCCGACCGCGCCGGTTGGCTGGCTTTTTGCCTCGCGCAATTATTACTGCCGATCGCTCGTCACTGGCTGGTGCGCTTGATCGTTATCATCTCTTTTGCCCGAATCAATGGCGCGAAAAACGAGGCAACGATCGCGACAATTACACGGGGGTAATAACGATTCAATCGGTTCGAGTCGAGTGACGTTTGTGCATTTCACATGTATATGTCTGCGTGGATGTATTGTACACACTGAAAAAGAGGACTGATTTTTCGCTCTTCGATCGGTTCTTTTGTGAGAGCACGATGCGTGTCACGATGCCTTTTAATTCGCCGCTAACGTGCAGTCACGTGCGAACTGTTTTTGCATTTCAACGAGCCGACTGTCTCTGTGTTTAGCTGTATATGTTTCGATCGATGATGTATCGCGGCACTGGAGTGTGAACGAGAGGAACGGTGGGTGAAATTTCATCAATGACTGCTTTTCTTTGACGTTTTATTTAATTCATTTTTTTCATTCGCCGAAACGAGTTTGTATACTATATGTTTTTTTTCGCTCACTTTGTTTTCTGAATTTCAAGAGTTTCAAGTATGGCGAATTAAAGTGTTTCATTTAAGCAAGTGTGCCGTGTCATCTGACACAGCTTGGTTGTCAGAGTAAAGGCGCCACAAAGAGCAATCGGAGACACGTGGTCTTTTCTAAATCAGTATCGAAGGAGGGCTTATTTTTCCTCACGAGAGAGAATCACTCGGATTTTTTATGTTTATTTTAATTCGTGCAAAAAATATAGATACAAGTTCTTCTTTTTCAAGCGTGGAGTCAATAAAAAAAAAAACAATGTTTTAACACCACTGCTGGACATTTCGAATAGTGTTTGCATAACGATTATGAACATGTAATGCAAAACTTGTGGGAAATCTCGGGACTAATTTCCCTTCCCTGCCCCATCCTAACTCCATCAAAGTTGAATACAAACTTGATTAAAGCACTATACAAATCCACCGCAACCAACCCCTCTCTGTGTATTACACAGATGGTGTACCTGTTATTGTCGACGACAAAATATACGGGGGCGAGTAAACGGACGCACTAATGGACTAAAGCCAGAAAATCATTTTACTGGGTATTTATTGCACAATGTCCCCTTTGATGGGGTGATTTTGCCATGTGTGGTTTTGACGTATTACACGGAAACAAACGATGCTCAGTCGAGTCTTACATGCTTGGAAGTACAAAATTCATACAAATTATCTTCAAATCAAAAATCGGCATCATAATTAACAATTTTTATCCTTTCTTTTATTCATATGATATATTTTTAATTTATTATAAAACGTACGTGAATAATAAATAATTGAAACCCAACGAATGTTCGATATACAAAGGAAACATCAACCGCTCCGATTACCCGGCCAAGCAGAATTCACGAATCGGCCTGTGGGCTAATGATCTCCATGGCGATTCGGGATGGCAGAGAGAGCCCGTGCATCCGGTCTTCCGCTCGACCAGGCACCGATCCTCGTGGAGCACCAGGTATTCGGTGCGCCCGTGTCCGCCCGTACGCGTGTTTATACACTCGGAGAAGAACCGATAGCGCTTAGGTATATATAGGTAGAAATTCACGATCGAGTAATTTTGACGGAACGCTGCTGCCTCTCGTATCTTGAATCACGAGGTGGGTTGTGCGCGCGTAGGTGTACTCCGGCCGATGATGTTTGACACGTGGGGAAAGGGGTTACGCCCGTGCCGTCGAGCGAATTTAATCGGTACAAAGGACCTGCTCGTTAGCTGCGAATCGAACGGATTAGGGATCGGTTGCGTCGTCGTGCGGCCAACCTCGGCACGCACAATAAATAACCGCTCGATCTCAAGGTGGTGTTTATTTTTATAATCTATACTT